TATGAGTGTTCATGCTGGTAATACTAGTGGCATTCTTGAATATGCAGCAGATGATCAAAGTCCGTATTAGTGTTGGTGATAGCACTACTGTTAACGCACAAGGGTTTACGTATTCGTATTCGTAGGAGTATAAATAGCTATGTAAATATTGATGTTAGTATAGATTTTGTGTTAAGTATTAGCAGTAGTGTTAGCGTTAGTACTATCATATTAAAATTATTGATGATATACATTCGAAAGAATGTTTGTATTGTTATTACTCTTGACCACGTGAAATTCTAACAGTTGAATTCATGAGTGAGTTAAAGGATTTGTGTTTTAATATGGTGGTATGCATGTTTATGTACATTAGTACATACAGGTGTGTGTTAGTATTGGTATTATTATACATTATTATCAATATGAATATGGTTATTGATATGCGTAGGAGTACTAAGAGCAATACTAATCAATCTTAGTATTTGTCTTATGCATATTCGTACTAAGCTTTATAGAAGTGTAATATTAGTAGTAATGCTGGTATTAGCTTGAGCATTCAACAAATGATCAATGTCAGTATGTTCAATGGCAATACTATATGTAGGGGTATCAATACATATATGTATATATAGATATACAGATAGATAGAGAGATATTCGTGTAAATATGGGCATGAGTATTGACAGCCCTTGCCTTTGCAAGTAATCTGGTCCGATGCGGAGACTAGCACGACAAGGCGCGCGGGTGTCATACCAAGAAAGGAATTACAGAGCACACGTGTATGGATGAGGGTTGTGCTGATACACTACATAGTAAGCACTACACAGTACTCTTACTTGAGTCATGTATAGAACAGATTCCAGCATTTCCAAAATTTCCAAAATTTCCAAAATTCTCTCCCCTAACTTTCCGCATTTCCAAAATTTCCAAAATTTCCAAAATTTCCAAAATTTCCGAAATTTCCAAAATTTCCAAAATTTCCGAAATTTCCAAAAATTTCCAAAATTTCCAAAATTTCCAAAATTTCCAAAATTTCCAAAATTTCCGAAATTTCCAAAATTTCCAAAATTTCAAAAATTTCCAAAATTTCCCGACCTAGTCGACAGGATTTTTCCAAAACATAAGGGCGGACTTTTTGGAAATTTTGGAAATTTTGGAAATTTTGGAAATTTCTGAAATTTTGGAAATTTTGGAAATTTTGGAAATTTTGGAAATCCGGAAAGTTAGGGGAGAGAATTTTGGAAATTTTGGAATTGAGGCTTTGAAAGCTGAGTGCCCCCTCCCCCCGATCACAGACCATGCACTACGACTGAGTCGAAAGGGCATGGTCTGTCATGGGGGGGGGGGTGACCATATATACATATGTATATATAGTCTTATTTGCATATATATATATATATATATATATATATATATATATATATATACTTTTATATCTATACATATATATATATATATTTTTTTTTCATGCGCGAGCATGAATTTGACGTCTGTGGACGGTCAATTTCTTCTTGTAGCTGGAATATATGTATTTCTCTTGAGGTATGATACTGCAAGAATCATATATTCCTGACAAAGGGCCTCTATATGGCATGCAGGGTTTCTTTTTGGCGACATAGCAATCGGTGAGTGCCCTTTCCATTTCTGTCCTGCCATCTCTGAGAATGCATGACTTCTGTCCGTGAAGCTTGTTGCTCCAAACAAGAAGTACCAGCAGAGGCAATGCATGCAGGACTAGTTTGAACATGGTGCCCCGAGCTCCCCTCTGCAAAACCGTGCATATATATATATATATATGCTTGTCGATGGAACGTTTCCCGTTGATTACGTGCAGACCAGATGGATGCAGACAGCTCAGATACATCGAAATATCTTAAAGTATGTGTTTACATATATATATATATAAGAAGTTCGGATCCATCATTTGTAAACCAAGTAGGCACTGTCCGAAGCCCTGGGTGACCATGGAGCCTTCCAAAAAGAAAGCCAAACTTCAACACCTTCTGACGTTCAAGGCCAGCCTGCCAGGCCATTCCCAAAGTGCTTTGGCGGGCTTCGTCAAAGCAGCCAAAGAGCAGGGCCTCCCGGAAGCCAGTTCTTCCAACGACCAGCGAAAGGCACGGCAACAGCTTCTTGAAAGCTGTGATGGCGGCCCCCTGGGACCATTGATCCAGCAGGCAGAACTGCCCATGAGCGACGGTGCCACAGTGACCATCCATTTTGCCAACCTTCTGGTCTATATCACCAGTCTTTTCGCCATGGGGGGCAGCTTCCATGATCTGCTCCAAAGGAAGCATGCGGCCAATCCCTCGTCGCTGGACAAGCCCTGGTCCTTGATCTTGTATTGCGACGAGGTGATCCCTGGCAATGTTCTTGGTCGTGCTGAACGCAAGCTATGGGCCATTTACGCCACCTTCCTCCAGCTAGGCCAAGAAGCCATGGGCCACGAAGACATGTGGCTGACCATCAGCCTAGAAAGATCCACCTTCGTGGCCCAATTGCCAGGTGGCATCGGCCAGGTGTTCGCCAAGATTCTGGAAGCCATCTTTTGCTGCCCCATGGCTGAACCATGTGGAGGCCTGCTCTTGAAAAGTCCACATGGGCCCATGGGCAACATCCGCCTCCATTTCAATTGGGGTATATGCCTCGCTGATGGGGCTGCCCAGAAGCAGATCTGGTCTTCCAAAGGCGACGCTGGTACCCGATTTTGCATGTTATGCGCAAACATCCACTCAGCAGCCACCATGGCTGCAGGCCAGGATGTCATTGACCATGCGACGACCAAATACCACCAACTGCGCTTGACAACCGACACTGAGGTCATCCAGTCCTACCATCGTTTGGACCAAAGGCAGCAAACATGCACCAAGGCGGATTTCCAGCACTGGCAGCAGGCCGCAGGGTGGACGTGGAATGCCCATGCCCTCCTCTTGAACCAGCCGCTGTTGTCCAGAGGCCACATTCGACCAGTGAGCCAGTTTTGCCACGATTGGATGCATGGGATCTTGCAAGGCAATGGCCCTGTCGTCCTCTTCCAGACCATGGAGACCATTGGCATGGCAATGGGTTTCAATGCTTGGGATTCCATGGAAAAGTACATCCAGCTCTGGTCCTGTCCAGGGGCTTCCAAAGCAGGGCACCTGAAAGCTTTGTTTTCCTCCAGGATGGTGAGCAAACACCAGGCAAGTTATAAGTTTTCCTGCCAGGCCAGCGACCTCTTGAGTATATTCCCCATTGTGCGGCATTATCTCCACACCATGGTTATGCCGGTGGGCGGCTGCCCCATTAAGGCCTGCGAGGCATTCTTGGCCCATGCAGACCTGCTCGACCAGGTGCACCAAGGAACCATGTATGGAGCCACTACCAGGGCAAGCCTACTACCAGCTGCTGAGTTAGCCATCCAGAGTTTCGTGGAAGCCAACTTCGGAGTTTCCTTAATAAAGAAGTGGCACTGGCTTTTGCACCTGCCTGATTTCTTGGAGAGGCATGGGATGTTGCCAAGCACTTTCACCACTGAGCGGAAGCACAAAACCATTGCCAAGTATGCCACCAACTTGCAGAAGACCACGGCTTTCGAAAGCCATTTGATGCAGCAGGTCGTGGCCATGGAGATCACCACTTTGAAGGAGCCAGGTCTGCACCCGGACACCTGCCAGCTGCTGAAGCCAAAGAAAGCTACCAAGCAGCAAGTCCAAGTCCTCCGCGACTTCGTGGATGGCCCATTGAACGAAGCCATGGTTGCTTCGAGTGCGAAGCTTGCCAAAGGTGGCACCATTCATGCCCACGATGTGGTTGTCTTCCAGCAGCAAGACGGACGTTGGGAAGTCGGCCAAGTTTGGTTCCACTTGGAAGTGGGTGCTCAACAGGTCACACTTCTCCAGCGGTGGACTCCCACGGTGAACAAAGCATCCCACTCTGCGAAATGCACCATCGCGAACGAGCAAGGCTTCGTTCCCATCGACTCCATCCAGTACCCACTGCCCTCAGACCAAGAGGCCACGGTGCTCATCCCGTACCAGCTCAACTGCAGGCTGTAAAACATCCATGCTTCACCTATTGAGTGCAGGTTTGGGTTTCGCCCTGATCATCGTGCCTACCTAGAGATTTGGACTTCCAAAGGGGGGTTTAGGGTTCGTTTTCATGCATGGTTTCTATAAGCTTTCAGCTGATGCCTTTCTCATTCTTTTTTTAAAAGGCCCTCTTGCTCACAAGATATCCATGACACCGCCTATATATATGGCCAGCTACATATGACATATAACCCATGTGAAAGCCTATATGGCCAGCCGATTTCCACATAGCTCCCATACTTCATGGCTGTTCCATCCCATATATTTAGTGTAAGTCTTTGCCACGAAAGCCACACCCAAAAACAGAGTTATAACTAGTTAGCTAACTCCACCTAACTAGTTATAAAAAATTACTTAACTCATGTTAACCAAGATAACTAGTTATAACACAGCGAGGATTCCAAGCAGGAGGGAGTTCAAGCAGCGAGGCAGCGTACGCTCGCTGCGCGGCGACTGCAAGGAGGCCAGACCAGCGCGCTACCCAGGCGTTGATGGCGGTCGGGCGGAGGTGGGCAGGGACGGCTTCGGCTCGCTGGCGCGCCAGGAGTCGGAGCAACTGGGCAGCCTCAGCGCCGAACCTGCCTCCAACCTCGACACGGCTTGCCCGGGCGAGCTCGGGGTAGGTGTCCCGGCGTTTACGCCTGGCGGCAGCCTCGACTGCACAGCCCGGCTGCACATCGGCTCGCGGATGGGCTTCGCCTCGCCTTGTAAGCGGGGAGACGATGGTGGCGTCGAGTGCGAGCTGGGAGCCGTGCCAGAGAGGGAGGCCGTTGGCGACGACCTCGATGCGCCTTTCATCACCGACTGGCGCGTCGAGGTTCATGTCGGCGAGGCGCACATTCCTCGCGACCCGCGCCCCAGCCTCGCGGCAAACTCGGGCGACAGCGTGCTCGAGCGGGAGAGCTCGGCTAGCAAGCACGCCGGATGTGGCGCACACGGACCGGTGGTCGCCAAGCGGGTCGAGCAGTCCATGGCAGCGGCAGTGGCGAGGCGCGAGTGGCAAGGGCAGGCGCAGGCGCCGGAGGAGCAGCACCCGGAACAGGGCACTGCGGAGGGTGAGATCGTACCGCGTCAGCAAGGCGGTGATGGCGCGGGCCGCAAAAGGCCCAGCTTGCGACAGCAGCAATGCGCGAGATGCAGGGGGAAGGTTAGAAAGATGCAACTCGCAGATGCGCTCATCGCTAGCTCGGGCAGCGACCCGTTGCCAGCCGCGGAGAGGGTCGGCTGGCTCCTCACCTCGTCCCCGAGCAGGGGGTGCCTCGGCTCCTCCACTAACAGCGGACCATGCTGGTGCGTCGTAGCCGTTGTCACAGACGCGGGGCCCGAGCCTGTGCCGCGGCAGCAGCGCACGGGAGTGGGACATCGCCTTGCAGCGCGCTGAGGAGGCGGTCAGCTGCGGCAGCGGCCCGGCGGCGGATGACGGGCAGTGTGTCGCACCACGATGCCCAATGCGCGGTGTGGCGGTCAGCCCAAGGCCTCCGAGTCGAAAAGGCAGCCGGGCTGTCGTGAGGCTGGTAGCGGGGATCGGCGCGTCCCCTCGTTCAAGCAAGTCGGCGAGGCAGTGCGCGATTGCGTCATCGTGTGCCTCGGCGAAGGAGGCGGTGAGGTGCGGGGGCAGTACTCGCAGCAAGTAGTTGGCGCGAGGGGAGGCGCAGGAGTGCAGTAACAGCCACGCGGCCTGCAAGTCCTCGAGTTGAGGGAGGCGCTGCAGCAGCTTGTTGTGTTCCTCCCGCTTGCGTTGCAGCTGCAAGGCGACAAATCGATCATGCCCGAGCGGGGAACCGAGGACTGTGAGCCCTTGGCGCTCAGGAGGCAGCGACCAGTCACCAACCCAGACTGGCGCGTCAGGGTCAGAGCCAAGGGCGGCGATGCCGGGCGGCTCCTCCCCGGCGGCGTTCCAGATGCGGGTTTTGCCTTCATGCAAGCGGACACGTGCGTGCTCCCAGAGTGCGCGCGCTAAAGCGTCATACAATGGCTGTATACGCTCAGGCTGCGCGATGATATAGGTATCATCTAGGAAAGCAAACGCAGCTTCTCCGTCCGCGAGCTGGGTCTGCAGTTGGGCGAGGGCTTCATGCTGCGCCAGGGAGTATAGCGCCGGCATGAGTGGATCGCCTTGTTCACCGCCCTCTCCCTGGCGAACCTCATGGGCCTGCCCCGAGTCGTCGAGCCACGTGTAGGTGCTGGGAGTCCCGTAGAACTCGCGTAGGGGAGCAGAGGCTGGAGAGCCGGCCGCGCGAGGAGCGCGCCTAGCATGGACCCCCTCGCCACATGGTCGAAAGCCCCCACGGCATCGACAGACAGCACCGTGGCGCGCGGTGAAGACTCGGTGGCAGCCCGCAGGAGCCGGCTGACAGCCTCCGTGCCAGCGCAGGTGCTGAGGCCGAACTGGTAGGGCAAGCATGCCTCCTGCAGGTGTGCGGCGAACTGTTGTGCGAGGACCTTGCCGACAAGTCGGCGGAGGACGTCGCCGACAACCAAAGCACGGACGCGGCCATTAGGCTTGCGCAGCGCAACAAGGCGTCCGACTCGTATGCCTGCGAGGACGCAAGGGGGAACCCGCGCATTAACGAGACTGAGGGCAGCAGCGTGGAGGAGCCGGCTGTCCTCTTCATCATCAAGCAAGGTGCGGAGGTGCTCGGCGGTGGTGCCAGACGGCCCGGCCGCAGAGCCGCGGCGGGCGCCGCGCAGGGCCGCGAGGAACGCGGGCATGGGCAAGGGACACTCATGCTCTGCTTGGAAGGCAAGCACCGCATCCGGCAAAGCGGCATACGGGTGCGGGGGGCGTTTGTCAGGGTCGGTGAGCTCGGCTAAAGTGTCATCGTTACCGGGCGCGAGTGGCTCGGCAGTGAGGGCGCGCGACGCCGCACAGAGCTCACCGAGGTGGACAAGGGCGGTGGCACGGTGAGCGCGCGCTCCATCACTCGGTGGCGAGCGACCCTGCTGCGAACTGGGTGCTCAAGCGACACAGCCGGCGGCCTGCTCCAGCAGGTCAGCCCAGTCCCCAGCCCTGAAAAGCTCGCAGCGGCGGTCAAGCTCGGCTGCGGGAACGCTAGACTGGCCAGGCGAGCGGTGGAGGAGCATGCGAGGTGCAAGGCAGAACAGCTTCCACCCTCGCACCTCATGCTCGACCCTATTTGCCCAGACCGAGGTTTTAGATGGAGGCAGGATCACAAGGCGGAGCCAAGGTGTCCAGACAGACCCTGCTGCTCAACACCCCGTGCTGATGCCTCCCACGGGCGTCAACCGGGGAGCGGTGATGACTACGATGCAAAGAGGAGGTGTTGTCCACCTCTTCAACGACTGTGGCCACCTCGGCACACCCGCGTACCGGCAGGAGCGCACCTTCTGCCGGCAAACCTCCGCCCTCCGCTACATGCCAACCCCAGCTGTGCAGCGGCACCCGCGCCAGCTTCGGGTTCCCCGTAAAGTTCCAGGTGGTTTAGGCCTGAACCCCCTAAGACCCGTGCGCACGTGCCTGACGGCACACGCTCGTTCGTTCGTGGTTAGGGGTTGTGGTGAAAGGCCTTGATTTCTCCGAGATAAGGGGCAGGGGAATTTGTGTATAGTGCGAGCCTCCACTGGCGTGAAAGTCGCAAGGAGGAGTGTAGAATTCCGTCCCCTGAGCCCCTCGTGACTTTTGATACATGTTTCTTCGCTGTGGTGTTTCGGCCTAGGCTTGGCTTCGGAATGTATGCCTCGGGTCACCACATTTACACAGCTTAGATTTTCGAAGGTAGTCTCAACTTGACGAATGCTTAAGGGCATGTTCGCAAGGATTTTACTGAGCTGTTGTCGTGCATTGAAAAGGTAGTTGCGCCTTGCGGGTTCATGGACCATCGGTAAGCCTTTGGAGAAGACCTGGGGACCTTCAGACTTTCTCGAACTACCCCGGTAACTACCCCTACGACAATCTTTCAATTCGATATCCTGGAACTGGAGCTCTTTGAGGACCTCAGCCCGTTCTTTGGATTCTATAGAACGATACATGGTCGTTCATTGCTGCACCCATGTCCCACACATGGTACATGCCATTGAGCAAGGACCCTCCGCTGTCAGGATATCACAACTGGCATAATGAGGGAAGGATCCATTGTGCGACAGCATCCGGCGCATTTCGCAGTGAAGAAGAATTGAGTGCACATGTGGCTTCGCAGTTTGATGGGAAGTTCCCACAGCTTCCATTGCCAACTCATGACCAAATTGTGGCTTGGAAACTCATTGGTCCAAAGAGCTCAGCAATTGGCTCTTGCGGGGAATGCCGACGGACGGTGGGTAATTGCTCGCCACATTGTGTTACCACGCGGATTGGCTTGTCATATGTCCGGAATATTGCACGCTTGTCAATTGAAGGACTGAACTGTCATTGATTTGACCTATGATCGGGATCGCATTGCGGATTCAAGCCAGAGCATTGCGATTGACTCCCGTCGTGACAGCCATTGTCGTCCCCGCTGGCATGATTGTTCGGTTCAGCCAAGTGAACTCTTTTTTTTTTTCGCGCACCTTTTTGCGACAGCAGAACGTGTCCGGTCGAGGTAGAGTTTGATGGCCTACCGTTGCCCACCACTGAAGAGGGTGCACTCAGGGCACCACACTGCAGTTAGCGTGGGGGCAGGCGGGCTGGCCGGGACCTCGTGGAGCCACCTGGCGTCAGCGAGGACCTCATGCAGGTCAGGCTCAGTGCCCTCGCTGAGCTCGGCAGCAGGAGGGAGTTCAAGCAGCGAGGCAGCGTACGCTCGCTGCGCGGCGACTGACTGCAAGGAGGCCGGACCAGCGCGCTACCCAGGCGTTAATGGCGGTCGGGCGGAAGTGGGCAGGCACGGTTCGGCTCGCTGGCGCGCCAGGAGTCGGAGCAACTGCTGCCTCCAACCTCGACACCAACTACAACGAGTCGGCACCGGCTCGCCCGGGCGAGCTCGGGGTAGGTGTCCCGGCGTTTACGCCTGGCGGCAGCCTCGACTGCATAGCCCGGCTGCACATCGGCTCGCGGATGGGCTTCGCCTCGCCTTGTAAGCGGGGAGACGATGTTGGCGTTCACTCGCCACCATTGGCGATTGGAGACTGGTCACAGTGGGATGTCCAATCTCGGATGGACATTGACCCGAAACATTGATTTGGATCACAGTGCAGAACAGACAAGGAAATTGCGATTGCCGTGTGCTTCGCATTGACCTCTTTTGGTTTGAGATTGTTAGTTTTCAAGACGGTTCTCATCGTGATTTGAAGCGACATGCTCGAGCCCGCGTCATTGCTCATTGACTTTTCCACGGGTGACCTCTGATTGCTGAAAGCAATTGTACAGTCAGCCTTTCATTGGATTTATGAAGGTTGAAGGGATTGCCACGGTAATACCGGCATCAGATTGCACAGAGATTGCGCAGAGCAAAATTCCATTGGTGTTGTATAGCCTTCTATTGCCATTACCCACGATTTTCGATTGGTAGTCTGGTAGTTATCCTGTCTGCAGTGCATTGATTCCTTTTGTCTGCACGCTCAGAACTGGCTGTGACACTGGAGTGACAATTGCATTTTATGCATTGTCAAGGGACCGTGTTTTAATACACTGTATCACAGGTGGCATTGTCGGGTCACCATATGGGTCGTTGTCATGATTGACATTGGCTCAAGTCTGCAAAGAAAAGGTTGGGGCCGAGTGGATCTGGATTGCAAGGGATCTGGGCTTGTGCTGAACATTGCTGTCATTTTGTCAAGTGGTGTACAAAGTATTGTACGGTATTGGTACTGAAGCTTTTTATTTAGGGAGGGACAAATTTGAAGTACCCACCCTACCCACCTTGGGGATGGCTAGCCGAAGGCTAGCGACAATCTCCAGACTAACTGGGATTTGTGCCACATCCATGAAAAAGGAGAGTCGTCGCGAGCTGCTTTGTTACTTGCTCGCGGCCGTTACTCTGCTAGTACGACTACTTTAGCACTACTCTCCCGGTGGAACGCTGGGGATGGTGGTGGGCTAGATTGGGCTAGTGCGCAACCTTGACCTGGGTAGTAATTATTGTCGTAGGAGCAGACAGAGGATGTGTGGAATTGGTGCTATTATGAGGTTGACACGGGTATGATCGTGCGAATATCAACTATAGGGCGTATAAGGTTTTGGGTTTCGGGAAAAGGCAAATCACTGTTTCACCAGGACAAGGTCACCAATACCTCGGAAAATAGGCTTTGCGGGATGACGTCATGCCTATACCGAAGATGGCTGTGTTAACGATGTGTATGTTCTACATGAATAGGCCAGCCAAAACATACGACAGGAGGGAAAAAACCGGCAGCCCAAATCTACCCACGCATGCGTTTTAAACGCCTGGCAAGCCCAACGGCGTTTTATTCAACCGCCGGAGATGCACTCAAGCGATTTTGTTTGCCCTTGAAGCCCTAACAACCCGTAACCCAAGACTGAAGTTGATGTTCCATTGCAGTCCTGCCCTGGCAGCAAACTCGCGTGCCACCCTTGCAAAGTCGGAATGCCCGCGTTTGCGAGCACACCCCTGTTAAGCGAAACAGCACCGTTCGCCAACAGGAGTTGCACTGTTGGCCAGCGGTTAGCATTATATGTATATTCAGTCGCCAACACAGGGTGTGTCTCGTACGCGCTCATCGTTGGGTCGTCGGCATCGAATTGGGCGTGCGCCCTCGCGCGACACCGGACGCCAACGTTGACCCTTTCAGGGCCGGAATTAAATTCAAAGGGGTTCAAGAATCAAGGCGCCTCAGTTCAGACATCAACTTTCGGGGAAACAGTCCCGTCAATTGAGAGCAAACAAACACGTGGAGGTTGGACTCGCGCCAGACACCAGCACGAATTCCGCAGCAGTGTTCACAGTAAACCATCTCCTTTTGCTTTCGAGTGTTGGGCTTGCCACTCAATATGTTGTGTAAAGTTTATACTACACCGGCCTTGTCACCATGCTTTAGTTTGCGCCCGCCATCCTAATTCGTTTTCAGGTTTGGGGTCTACCAAAATTCTCCGTTGCGGCAAGGGCTCTCGAGATCTCTCGAGAGCGATGGTGTGTCGGGACAACGGCAAGTTGTAAGCAGCCACACAATATCGATATTTTGGGGTGCTGTGTAAACCTTGCTTGTCATGTCTTCTCCGGGCAGACGCGCATGCATCAGTGCAACAACATGCAACAACACATCGGACAAAAAAACAGACACAAAGAGAGAGAGAGAGAGAGAGAGAGAGAGATATATATATATATATATATATATATATAGCGAGAGAGGCAGATATACCACACAAATCCACAAAATAAATTGCAACAAGCAAATGCAGCAAGGCATCCCAACAGACAGCCCACAAACATGTAGTTACACTTCTGTTGTATTGATTGGCGATACACGGAATACAGCTTGCCTCCTGTTGGGCGTTGCACATGGCATTGGGGCAACAACGCGGCTGATTTGCCGAATGCTTGGCAAGCGCAGAAAGGAGGCTCAGGCTCTCAGTGATCGCTTCAGTAGGGCCGTAGGCTTGCACTGTGAAGTCGTGAAGTGAGCAGTGTTCCCGTGTTTCCGTTGCCTCGAGGCCAATGCCCAGAAGGATTGCGGAAAACCAAAGTGGAAGGAGGAGCTTGCGGAAGATGAGGAGAGCGGCGAGGAGGTGACCGCCGAGGACATGGAGGAGTGGCGCCAACGAGAGGAAGTGGAACGCAAAGCCAGAGAGGCTCGGGAAGCAGAAGAAGCAAGAAAAAGGCGCGAGTCCGAACGTGCCGCGGCTGCTGCAGAGGAGGAGCGGAAGAAAAACGCCAGAAGCAAATCAAAGTCTTCCAGATCTACCAGTTCTTGTTCACATCGATCCAGATCGCGCCGACGCCGAAGATCCTCGTCTTCGTCATCAAGGTCGAGTTCCAAGACTCGGAGGAAGAGTGGTTGGGACGTCGCTGATGCCAGCCTTATTGCAGCAGCTACGGGGGTCCCGACGTCAGACACCATGCAGACCCAAGCGGAAAACAAGCCGCTCATCGTTGTGCCTCCTCCCCCACCCCCCGTTGCACGACTGGCTGGCGATGCCAGTCCACTGGCCCCGTCAGCGCAAGCAACTCCGACACCACCCCCGCCACCAACAATTGAGTCTTTCTGCCAACATACACACACACCAGCCCCACCGCCCCCTCCACCACCTGTGCATTTAAACGGAGCTGTGCTGAACGCACCTGTGCATGGCCAGATGTGGGAGAAGTTGCCAGTCAGTCGCCAGGGTCCTGGGCATATGGCGCACTCAGTCATGCAATTCCCAGGTGCTGTCATGGCGCCCCAGTGGCACCCGAACATGCAATGGCAACCTCCGTTCTGCCAGGGTCAGACCGGTTCGTGGCAAAGCCAGGCCGCGCCATTGTGGCACGACCCTCTTCAAGGACATGAAGGTGGAGGATGGCCGCAACAAGGTGAACCCCAAAGTGCTGCCCCGTACCCTGCCGCTCCTGGCAATCCTGGCCATGTATTCCCCCAGATTCAGCAAGTGTTTCCCCAAAATGTCCCCTCGTGGGTGCCCGCACCGGCCGATCGCTCGAACGAGGAGCGATTTATTGGGAGGGTGAAGAGATTCCAGGATGGCCCCGCAGGTGGCTATGGCTTCATTGACTGCGACGAAACCAAGCTGCGGTTCACCAGAGATATTTACATACATCGGAATCAGATGACCGGGTTGCAGATTGGCGATGAAGTAAGCTTCACCATTTCATTGAACAACAAAGGCGAGCCACAAGCTAGGAATGTGATGAAGCGAGAAGATGCGCTTCTGCTTCGGGCAGGTGCTGTCCACGGCATGGTCCCAGAAGGGCCTGCTGGGCCTTCCGCACCCAACTTGATGGATGAACATGAGGCAAGGCAGTTCCAAGCATCGTTACGTGGTAACGTCGGTTGACCTCGAAACTGGGAGGAAAAATGCATAGTTGTGCGGACTTTCAGCCATGCACCCTTTTCCTGTCAGTCACCGCAGTAGTTCGAGACTTGGTAGCATAATAATCAAGAAGCAATATATGAAGCAGCAGGTGGTTGTTTGAACAAAGGTCTTCCAAGACCACGGGGCAGAGAGAGGAGGCAGCTATGGTGCGTATCTGACAATGTAACCAACAACAGGCAGAAACACTCCTCGACAAGCAACGGCTCAATGAAGATCTCATCAGAGAATAGTGTGGGCTCTCGTGATTGCAATGCCGGGCTGTCAGCATCTCGGTTGTTGCGGTTGAATGTTTTCTTAAGAGAATACGAGGGACGGCCGGGCTGCACATGCTTAGGTCCGGCGTCGGTTTATCTCGTGTGCATTTTGGGGCAGATCTTCAATGACGCGTCTGCCCTGAAAATTCCGAAGAACATCCTTAAACTTCCAGACCTAGAATCAGAAGCAGTGGAGCGGGAAATCGTGGAAGGAGATCCGCACGGTGCAAGCATTGCCTTGCTTGCTGCGGCAGAGAACGGCAGACATCACTTGGAGATGGTTTGGGCACTGCTGGCCCTGGAGTACGATTTGAACGATCTCCAGGAGTGGCTCTCCTCGACTTCGCCGCTCCCTCCAAGTCCAAGTGCTCCCTTATCCCGAGAAAGCCATGAAAGTCTGGTCGAGGACTTCAGGAACTTGCTGGAAAATCTCCGTGCAAACCGGCCGGACAGCGATGCAGTGAAGGCGCTGATTGTGAGCTTGGCCAGGGCTGGCGGAGCGCACCGAGTGTCCAGTGCATTACAGGCCTTGCAGGCCTTGGGTTACAGCCCGCAGGAGCTGCAAGGCTGGATCGAGCAAAAAGGAAAAGGCCAGGCTCCCACAAAGGGACCTGCAGCCCGTGCTATCGAGAACTCCTGGAACGTTTACTTGCTCATCGACGCTTTGAAGCATTCGAGCAGAGCGGAGGTAAAGCAAGTTCTTGCCCACATCGGCACACAAGAGATGGTACATGTGCTTGGGACTTTCACTGCATTGGGCTACGATTACAATGGGCTACTGAAATGGTTGCAGTCGGAGTCGTCAGAGGTGGACACTCAGCCGAAGAACTCGGATTTTGCTCTTCTCTTGAAAGACCTCGAGGCGGAGGCTGAAACCCGGGCCGAAGTGAAGGAAGTCTTCGCACGGATGCTGAGGACGGGCAACCTTTCGTCTTCTTTTGCCAGGCTGCAATCCATGGGCTACGACCTCGATGCAGTAAAGCGCTGGTATCAGTCTCACCTGAGAGCCACTCCGCAGCCTCAGCAGAAAGATCCCGGACCTGGCAAACTCGGCGAAGTCTTCAGGAATGAGTCCGTGATCCTAACAACACCGACCAAGAGGCTCCTCCCTGAGACCATGCAGGACAGTGTCAGCTCGTTCCCCGGGCCTCACTTGCAAGCCTTGGGCGATGAGACGAGGCACCTGCAAGAGGAGAAGCCCCCGATTTCCGCGAAGACCGCAGTCGCAGTCGCGGCGGAGGCGACGGCCAGGGCCACTGTGGAAGTGCCAATCCTGAAATCCTCGTCTTCGAATTCTCGACTTGACACAGCTACAGGCTTTGATGAGCTGCTTTTGCAGGTGCATCGGGCATATAAGGCGGAGGTCATTCGGCTGCTTTCCTCCGAATTTAGATCAGGTGGCCGGCCACGGGTCGAACAAGCTTTCGCCTTCTTGGAAGCTTCAGGATACAGCCACAAGGATGTGCAGGCATGGCTGACTGGTGGGCCGGCCCCAGTGCGACGGATGTAGGCACAAGCATCAGATCCGAGCATTTGGACAGAGAGAGTAGGTTGCTGCTGTGTTTTTGTTGCCGCTTACCTTGGGTCATGAACACGCTGGGCAAGCCGCGAGGGAGAGAGCGACAGAGAGTTTTGTGGCGCACTATTGAATGTTTTTTGCTGCTGCTGCTTCGTCAAGGGAAGTATATAGAAGTGGCAGGACCAGGAACTTTGGCACAAGATTTTACTGTAGTGGCGAGGCTGCATAAGTTACATAAGTCACTTCAGCCATGGTCAGACAGTCCATGACCGGACAAAGCTCTTGAGGGTAGCGACCTGAAGCGTAGCTGCACGTGACTCAGCGCGGCGGTTGTTGTGTGGGCATTTTAACGATCGGTGAACGTCGTTAACTACCGGTCTTGCATCATCAGCTTCCTGCGAAACCTGTGACAGGTTTACTATACTTGGCCATTTTGATATGCTGTGCATGCCCTAGTATAACTTGGCGTACCGTGGCGTAGTAATATTTCGTGTCGTACCAGCTCAGCCGGATGCCCGGGCGCCGTTCCAAGTCTGATGCGCAGGTGCAACGGTGTGCACGGTGCAAGCATCTTCCTTTTCATGTGATTCGAAGACCTGACATGCAGGACGTCCCCATTGCAGGCGGAGCAGATCGAGGCCTGGCTCTCTGGCTCTTGCAATCAGGCTTCCTGCGAGTGGCATTCCTCCGATTGGGATCTTAGTCTTGGCCACCTGTAGGCTCACATTCTGGGACAGGGGAATGGAGGTGGAAGAGGAACAAAGATTGACAGGAGGGCTAGCTGTGGCTAGCGGCTAGCGAGCAACAGAGTAAAGACTGAGGTGAGATGTGTTGGAACACGTACAGAGAAGTGCTGTGCGAGCGCAGCAAGGTTCCAAAGCAAAGCGAAGAAAGCGAGTGCCTAAGAGTACCGTCGGTGATCTTCAGGACTGCAGAGTGCAGTTCATGTTGCCGTGGATGTCCAAGTCCCAAGCTTTAAGCTTTGCAAGGTCACGCACGGATGGCCCGCAGGCACGGTCGATGCGGGTCCGAAAGCGTTTCGCTTTGCTGCTGCACTTAGGATCCGCGGCAAAGACAGGCGGCCGAGCTACAGACGCAAGTGGTCGTGGAGCCTCGCTTTCCAATCGGCTAACTTGGCCTTGCAACTCCTTAGAGCAGGCCCCGTCTCCTGATCGATTTGTGGGCAGGGCCTCATCGCGGTGCACTCAGTGCGATGAGTCGGTAATGAGCAGAGCTCTCTAAAGGCCGGGCTGGCCATGCTAGCAGCTTTTGGACGGTGTTTCACGTGCTCCACTCAGGGATGAAGAGTCGCTTCCATCAGCACCTTCCCAAGGCCAATGGTATACACATAAGAATCAATCTAAATAGAAATTTTATATATATATATATATATATATACATACATATATATATATATATATATATATATATATATATATATATATATATACACACACACAGACGTACGTCCGTCATCGTCATCTAGGGTGGAAGGTATTGACTTCAGTTTCGACTCTGCACGAAAGGGTATTTCGCGACTAGAGCTGCTTCGGGAGGCCATCAGTCTGAAAGGCTGCGGACAGGCCCAGCCAGATTTGATTTAAGCGGGGGGGGAGGCGTTCACAGTTGCCTTGTTGCAGGGCAGGTCGATTCCAAACCCAGGCGGCTGCCTGCCGTTGCTTGTTGAAGCGGCTTCTTTGGACGAAGCTTTCAGGCGAGTTTTGGTCGCGCGCCAAGACCCACCTCGCGCAGTCCTCCGACCACAACGAGAAGACAGGCGACCGTCGCTGCCGCGTTAAGCCTAATGCATCCTTCATCGTCACTACCCGACTACCCCAGTCCCATGGCGCATCTCCGATCGCGTACGTCATTGGCATTGCATGGAGCCATAGAGCCAGACTTTTCCACTTGAACATTTAGCTATCACGCCGCACCGCTGGAGTAGATTCCTCCGATAGGGCGCGCCTCAAGCCTGCAAATGCGTTGGTGTTGAAGAGCAATGCGCAGGCCGAACTGCTGATGGAAGCACAAATCGCATGCTGCTCCAGCTGTCTGTTCTGCAGGTCACAGAAAAAGCAAGCGACAAGGCCGCTGGCTAGTGCGGCCATTGCAATCAACGGGACCTTGCATAAGTCTCGTGCGTGGTAGGCCCTTGCCCCGGAAAGGTCTTCCTGCCCCGAGCCTTCAAAGATGGCCGTCCAGTCTTGATGTCGCTACTCATGCAACACTCATTTATCCAGCAAGCTTCGCCGGCCAAACAAAATCGACACAAAAAACGGGCTCTGGTCAACAAACATCTTGAGACGCATAGATCCCGGACCACCACCAGTAGGACCACCAGGACCACCACTACGATCAGGACGATTACGCCAAAAAGTGAGACCAACACGACACCACCAGCACACCACGAGACGACGAGAAAACCTCAGCAAACCACCAGGAGAGACCGGACTGCCCCCAAAGTACTGGCTGGACAGCCACGGCTCTGTTTGATGGATCCTAGGTTCTTGTTGGTTCTGGGTGCTTGCCTTTCGTCTTTGCTTTACTCATGTCAACCGACCTACCTGATGGAATCCGTGCCTGCTTCGTGGGAGTCCGCGAGTCAAAAAACATATACCAGCGGGAGGATTGTGCCAAACGTGCATTTCCGGTAGAGTACCACATCGACGTTAGATCACCCGTGACTGCCGTTGCACTTGTGTATCAAGGGAGGGATGCGCATGGAGCCAAAACCGTCGCGAGTCCCATGCCACATGTGCTGACCTTCCAGGCTCCCCGACGGATCATTTCGCGTTGGTAGGGACCCCCGTCGACGTTGCAGCACCATCCTCCCTCAGGGACTGGAACTTGCTCGGGCCTTCGCCTTAGCTGGGCTCCTTAGTCCGGTGTTTTGGGGCGCAGCCTGAGCTGCACTTCACAGCGTCCTATGTCGCCAAGCTGCTGGAGGCCTCAGTAGGCCCCATCCCATGCGTGCCTTGAGGGGGCAAAGCGGCGGTCGCTTAGTCGCGCGAAGCTCGCCACAGGAACTGCAAACCGAAGGCCTCAAGGCATCCTTCAACGTCATGGAGGGATTCATCATGCCGCCAATCGTTACTCCCAGGGCGCATATGGCCAAGAAGTCGAACATTGCACAACCCAACAGCTGCTTTGTTGTGCGACAACGGATGTTGCCAAGCCAGAACTTGGCAAGGCTTTTGACGTGGGTCTCAGCGGTGTACTTGCTGTTGAGCCCTGCTCCCCACGTGGCATCACGAGTCCTTAGCAGCAAGCACAGTAGCCATGATGCACTGCTCAATGTGAACGGAAACCGGGAGTCCTTTCTAGGCACACTCTGCTGCCTTTGTTCTTCATCCTGCGTTAGGATCCTGTGCTCCGGCCCCAGTGAAGCACCAAGGACTTTCATGGTAGCTGTAGCGGTGCGGCCAGACTCACACTCTCATCACGATACCAATACTGGGTTTTGTCGGGGTGGGTCTTGAGGTGCCCACTATAGCCAAGCGACTCCAACTCACGCCAGACTTGCTCCCAAGACTGCAGGTTTTTGCAAAGTGGCATGTACCGAAGCCGTATCGTCCATGTACAGGGGCTGATGAGACTGCGGAAGAGCAGCAACAGCCTCCTTATAGGGACCCGACGAGTTGGTGCTGGCAGTCTTGCTTTTGCCAAAAGCAGCCTCCACCACTCTCTTTTTCTTCCTCCTTCCAGTGAGCTGCTGCTGGCAGCTTCCATTCAATCAAGAGGAGGCTGCCACCACTCTCTTTCTTCCTGCTTCCACCAGCTGTTGCTGGCAGCCTCCCTTTGTCAGGAGGCTGCCACCACTCATCTTCCCATCACTCCTTTTTTTTTCCCAAAAACCCCTGGGGGGTTGGGTTCTTGTTTAGTTGTTCCTTCCCGCGGGGGAGCGTTCATTTTCGAGACGTTGTCGCGGACCGGAAAAGCCCTTTAGCGAAGAGAAAGCGTCCACGGCATCGTTCCGCAGGAGGACTGGGACGGCTGGGGGGACGGGGACGGGTGGGGAGCTCGGGCCATGGGTGGGAAGCTCTGGGTGTGGAGCGTTCGCGGGAGGACGCGGCCGTGGACGGGGTCGGGTGGGGCCGGGGTGCTTAATTTCCCTCATGCCTAAAGAACGGTCTGGATTTTGGGTTTCCCGCTTGACCTTGTTTTTCAATTCCCGTTCCCGTTCCCCCTTCTGGTCCCGCCAGGACCTGTCCTGAAACCTCCACCACCGGGCCATGGCAGCTGCCTACAGCTACTGTACCTAGGCTACAGCCGCCGCCTAGTCTGCGTAGGTGCTACCCAGAGTGCTACCTCGAAGTTCAAGGGAGCAGTAGTTGCAGTAGTAGTCGTCGTCTGCCTGTAGGGTTGGTGCTTGGGGGTTTTGTTTGCGGTAATAATAACAATGGAGCTTGTTTCGCAATGTCGCAGATCAATCTTAACTCAGCGTGCGATCCGTTGGCACCATTACAACGTTGGGTGACGTACACCCAAACAGACATTCTTCGGCTGCAAGAAGGAGCTTCGGGCCGCCAAAGAAGAAGAACAATCGGTACGCAAAATTCAGCAACCAGTGCATGTTCAATTGAGAGAGATGGATCAACGGTTGTCAGAGGTCGTGGAAGCAGTCACTGACTGAAGTGTTTGTTGAAACTTTCATGTGGAATTAACAATGAAGTGAGATGTCTCAGGGTGGAGGGGCGGGCATAGCTTGCCCAGATCTTTCGGATGCTGAAGCCGAGGGGCTCACAGCCTCAGGGTTCAGCTTTGAACTGGCATGGAGTTCTCGCACGTGCTGTGCGACGGAGGCAAGCTTTTGTCACACCTCAGGCGCCTGGATCCTGGGGGCGGCGCTGCTGGTCACTGCTTACTTCCTCTGCCTTTGCCCGCAATACTTTCTCTGCCCTCTGGGACCGTAGAGTGACCGTGGTTTCCATTTATGTCGACCCCCACTGCGGATGAATGGGCCGACACAGATAGCATGCTTAAAGGTGATGGACTGGGTGGGGCTCTCGGGGACTGTTGGCGACCTCGCTATTCCCAGAGGTTCGTTTCTGCGGCTGATGGGGTCCACCGGTCAGGAACATCCACATGTGTTTGCAAGCTTGGCAGAGGCCGATTCCCAGCAAGAACTACAGCATTAACCTTGGCCACCGCGATACCAGTCACCAAAAGGAAGATGAAGATGTCATCTATTGTCAATCAGGATGACGACCTGGAGATCGACATCTTAGATGCCACGACAATCACCAATGCATACGCCAAGTATGTCAGGAAGATCGGTGCTTTTCCGCGTGGAGATGAGAAGCTCAGCACTGAACAGCTTAGCAGCTTGCATAATAATTTCTTCAAGTCATGGCCGGCGCCATATCGCGATTTCTCCGTCAGACTCATGGGAAGATCCAGTCTGTAGAGTTAAATGGCCCTGCGGACTTCGAGAGATGGTGAGGCAGCTACGCTGCCTTCAAGGTCGGATGCATTACCGTATGTTTGAAGAGATCTCCCTCGCCCGTTTGGAAGGATAGGAGAAGACGATTCGTAATTACCACGAGCGATATGGGCGGAACTACTGGGCACTCATCTACCGCGCGGACGTCAGATGCAGGCTGGAACACAGCGAAAGATTGAAGCGACTGGGCACGACAATGCCATTGCCGCCGGCGGCAGCCACGACTTCGACATCAATGCTCCTTGGGAATGGGTGTGGCAGGCGATGGTTGACGACAGCAAATTTTGGCATCGAGAACTGGAAGAGCCCGCCTTGCTCATCATGGCCAGGGGCTCCAAGGATGCCTTCCTGGAGCAGGCTACGGCCACGTCTTCTATGGCTGCGGGTGGCGGCAAGCGGGCCAGGGCCAATATGGTCAGGGAGCATCGAGTGGGCGAGGACACACCCATAGCAGACGCGGAGCCCGCTTTTGCGATGACTTCCAGAACGGAACGTGCAAGGAGCGAGATCGTTTCGGCAATTGCCTCAAGAATCCAGAGCTGAAGCATCAGCGTGCTAAATTGTTGGCGGTGGACCATGGATTCGTGCGGCCCGACCGGTCACCGTCCCCTTGCCGGCAATATTGAAGGGAACCACCAACGATGTGCCTTAGAGCCACTCGAAGGTGGGGATTTGGATGTGTTATCGGCCGCACTGCATCTCCGATGGACTTTTCGGAGCCACCGCATGGACAGCCCATGGTCTGGGCTGCCACGGCGTGCCCTGAGGCACTCCTCTTTCTCTTCCGTGCTGCCCGTCGGTCTCAGGTCATTGGTCGTGAAGCGGAGGCGGCGGCCCGCACTGGACCCTGAACTGCTCACTGGCTGGCGTGGCTTGGTTCTACCTGCGCAACGGACACTTTCCAGCCGCCGGCCATCTGCTATCATTAGAGGCGCATGCGTCGGCAATTGTCAGTTGCGCACAGTCTTTGGGCTCCCGCCAAGAGGGCGCATTGGAAGATGGGCGGCGACCTCGTCTTGCCTTACAATGTGTCTGTGGTCTTCATTAGGCCGGCGAGACAACAGTGTACAACCTCGCTGGGCAAATCATATTCCGCATCAATGAGGTAGCGCGATATGATGATCTCAAGTGGTGCACTGAGGCTCTTACAGGGCGGCCATCAGAGTTCCGGCCGGCGCCCGCGGACGAGTGCCTATGGGATCTTCGGGAGGACACGCTGATCCCAATGGGAGAGTTCCATATGATCGCAGCCTGCTTTCTGCAGAGGACGGACTCGTGCAGCGCTTGCTCAAACAATGCATCCTTTCTAAGCACCCTTGTGCCGTTTCATTCGTGGTCAAGGAGCACGGGTCGGACTTTCGACTGACTGAGGATTGGAGTCCACGCCGGTGCCCTTTTTAGGCATTGGATTACCCGGTTCACATACTCATCAATGTTGCCAGCGCCTAGGTGGGATCCGGGCGCAATGCAACGTGTCCATAAGAATCGGATGCATCAGCGCGCACTGGCAAGTCACACTCCACTCTGCACGTCCCACTTTTAGCAAACCGTCGCAGGTGTGTGTGTGTGTGTGTGTGTGTGTGTGTGTGTGTGTGTGTGTGTGTGTGTGTGTGTGTGTGTGTGTGTGTGTGTGTGTGTGTGTGT